GAGATTCAGGGTTTCATTATCTTTTTGACTGGTTAAAACAACCATTTAAAAAACCATTGCCTGGTTAAAACAAAGCTGGAATCTGATCCCAAGTCTTTATTTCAAATTCCACTGTGTTATTGCAGTGGATGTGATTTTATGGTGGTTCAAGTGAATAGAGTACCTGAGACCAGTCTTTTTCTGTGAAATGAATCTTGCTTACCCTTTTCCAGCAGTCTTCACCTCACTGGGGAGGCGGTCTCTGGTCTTTGTCTATGACATAATGCTTCTTTTCTGCTATGACTTTTTTCCTTTCTCTTGCAGACATGCGTCGGGATGTCCAGGAAATTTTTCGCATGACCCCCCATGAGAAGCAGGTCATGATGTTCAGTGCTACCTTGAGCAAAGAGATCCGTCCTGTCTGCCGCAAGTTCATGCAAGACGTAAATACCCTTCTACCTTCTCTCCCTCCACTCCCTGCCCACTGCCTCCTCCCCTTCCGCGCCCTCTTCCTCCAGACTCCCTTGTCCTTCAAGTGCCAAGAAGGGGGCACGTGCCCATCTGGGAGTGATGACTCCTTGAAGAGACACACAGAGGCAGAGACAGCTAGTGTTAGGGTCTGCGCGGGCGCCAGGGAAACTCCGGAAGACTTGGTCGGGTTAACTTGAGAGCGGGTAGTGTTCGACCTTTTTTTTTTTTTTTCATCACAGCATTTTTGAACCTCTTTCTTTTGGGGGGAGGGCAGAATTTTCTGCCCTACCACCCACCCGTCGTCTCCTACATAGCCCTTTACAGCCACGCACCCTCAAAGTGGCATCGAGCAGACAGTTGGAGCCTTCTGCTTCCCAAAACTCATAACCTCCCGGTGGCAGGAGAGCAAGAGAGGGACAGACAGATTGCAGGGCATGTCCAGAAGAAGAGCAAACAGCACAAATGAATCCGCTCCCTCCCCACCTCCAGGGGTGGGGGCCTTTGGCACCTCAGTCCCCGATCCCTTACTCCTTCCCATCCACACCTCCTCGCACCCATCCGGAGTCTCGGTTGATGTGAGCCGGCAGCAGAGAAGCACCGTGGAGCGGCGGGGGAAATGCGGACGGCACCCAGCGGTGGATGGCGGCAGCGGAGGCCGCGGGGAAACCTGACCAGGAAGCTGAGGACCAAACCAGCCTCTTTTTCCGTTCCCGGTTTTTTTCCTGAATCCAAGGCGTGCCGTGCTTCCCGTTTCCCCCATATGTGTTGGGGGGAGGGGTGTCCTGAAAGGGGGGGTAGATTTTTTTTTTCTTTTTTAAAACAATTTTTTAATGCTCAGAGGAGAGGGATATGGGAAAGGTAAAGTGAGGAGCTCCACTTGAATGTGACCAGGTGGGTGTCAGGGTTTGGGGCTAGATGGGGCCTGTTGTATACACAGTGCAGTGTATTCTTTCCCCATCCTGTACTGCTCCTTCCCATGGGGTGTTAACTGTCTTTAGCTGTACTTGGGGATAGGATTAGATTTGAAGGAGGCCATGGAACTTTCTGAAAAGCCTGCCTGTACTAGCCTGCTTTCTGGGATTGGGCTTCTGGTTTTCTTCTGTGCCACACTTCCTTTCCTAAAATCTTGGACCCTGGGTGTTCATGTTAATTATGTCCCCAGGTTAGTGAAGAGTGCTAGGAAAATTGGACTCAGGAGTTGAGTCTTGTGTCAATTTATATATTTTTTTATGTTGCCTTCCTCCCCTTCAAGGGTTTTGTGTGTGTGCATGTGTGCCTGTTTGTACGCGTGCGTGTGTATGCACGCAGATGAATATGTGTCTGCTGCTCTGAATTTGTTTCTTAACACCATTTAATGGTACCATCCCTGTAATACTCTAGGTGGTTTGACTCTTAGTTCAAAGACCAGTGCCATCTAAACTATTCCCGTGTAGTCTGAGGGCAAGTTGTTACTCAACTTGAGTAACTTCTGCTTTTCTTTCATGGCATTTTTGAGACCATCTTATTGTAGCATTCTGATCTGAAGATAGCCGTCCTCCTGATGTGGATCTGATTTCCTTAGTTGTTTTGTTTTTTTAAAGATTTATTTGAGAGAAAGCACAAGCGGGTGGAGGGGCAGAGGGGGAGGGAGAAACAGACTCCCCATTGAGGAGGGAGCGTAATGAAGGACTTGATCCAAGGACTCTCAGCTCATGACCTGAGTTGAAGGCAGATGCTTAATCCACTGAGCCACGCAGGCGCCTCCTTATTTTCTTAGTTAAGAGAATGCTCTAATGAAGCAATCCTTGTCTTCCCCTGTATTTTTACAACCATCTCTGAGTTAACTCTGACCTTGAGTCACTCTGTCCCACCAGTACCCAGGCGTTTCAATCACATTCTCCTTTTGGGGATCATCTCCCGTTTTCTTTCCTCTGTTACCTCCCTTTGAGGTAGTGGCATCTTGCCAATAGGTGGTCCCACTGCTCCTTTTCCTTTCTGGAAAGTTCCCTTCCCATGCCTGGTTAAGGTTAGGCAGTCTTAAAACTCATGTCTGATAGGAAGGAAATTAGAGCTAATGTGGAAGAGACCACATTAAAAGGGGTATTTTGGGGGGTATGGTGGGATTTTCAGTTTTCTCTTCTCCCCATCCCCCCATGGGGTGTATTGGAGATCAAGTTCCTCCACCCCCCCAGGTTTAACCCCCCCACTCTGCCCTCCTCCCGTTCCCCACCCCTACTCCCCCCTCCCCCCCAGCCAATGGAGATCTTCGTGGATGATGAGACGAAGCTGACGCTGCATGGGTTGCAGCAGTACTACGTGAAACTGAAGGACAACGAGAAGAACCGGAAGCTCTTTGACCTTCTCGATGTCCTTGAGTTCAATCAGGTCAGTTGTTCAAGGTCCAGTAGGTGGATGAGCACGTCTCCAACTGTAGCAGAAACCTGGTTAAGTACCCATTTATTGAGGATGTGATGTGATGTGAGCAAGAATAGTAGATAAATTGGCTTTAAATGAAATTCTTTTAAATGAAAAAAATTTTTTTTAAGATTATATTTATTTATTTGACAGAGATCACAAGTAGGCAGAGAGGCAGGCGGGGAGGGGGGAGCAGGCTCTCTGCTGAGCAGAGAGCCCAATGTGGTGCTTGATCCCAGGACCCTGAGATCATCACCTGAGCCCAAGGCAGAGGCTTAACCCACTGAGCCATCCAGGCGCCCCTTAAATGAGAATTTAAACAAGGTGAGAGCTGCCTTTCTGTTCCATGGCTGTCACAGCCAGGTGTTTTGTAAAGAAAAAGCTCAATAAAGAAAATTCTTAGAAAATTCTTGAGGGGATTTCATAAGCTTGTAAAAATTCCAAAATATTTTGGGTTTGTTAGGTTTTTAAATTTGTTTCTTCTCATGCTGTTTACTGAGAAGAAATGACCCATCACTTAACCTGTTTTGTGGATTTATTAGCACCAAAAACTTACTGAAATTAAGGTAGATTGCTTATATTTGTTCCTAATGAGTAGGAAATACTGGTCATGATCTTTCCAGACTTTAGTTTTATTTTTTATCACTTTATCATTTTTACCATTAGCTACATTCAACTTGGTAGTTTTGGTTACTACTCTCTCTAACTTCTCTGCAGCATGTCTGCTCAGGAAAAATCAGAGCTGAGTAAGAAAGGCTTAAGTTATATTTAGAACAGAGGAGGAATATGTGATGAGGATTAGGAGGAATTTCTTTAGAACAGTGCAGTTACTGAAAACTCTTCTCTTACATAATCTCTCACGGATCCCACATGGACCCACATCCCCTGTCACACACCCAGGTGGTGATCTTTGTGAAGTCTGTGCAGCGTTGCATTGCCCTGGCCCAGCTCCTAGTGGAGCAGAACTTCCCAGCCATTGCCATCCACCGAGGGATGCCCCAGGAGGAGAGGTGAGTCAGAGATGGAAAGATGTTTTGTGTCCTTGGGAAGAAAAAGAGACCATTGAGAGAAGGGACTCAACATTTTTCTAATTTCCTTTCTCACAAAGGCTTTCTCGGTATCAGCAGTTTAAAGATTTTCAACGACGAATTCTTGTGGCTACCAACCTATTTGGCCGAGGCATGGATATTGAGCGGGTGAACATTGCCTTCAATTATGACATGCCTGAGGATTCTGACACCTACCTGCATAGAGTAAGCTCCACTCCCATGTGGGCATCCCAGTGTCCCATCTTGCTCCCTGATTTTCTGTCTTCATACCTAATTGTCTCGCCCCTCCTTTTGTGAATTTTCCTACTTGGGAGTCGTCCCAGTGTTACCCTCTCTCCTTCCAGGTGGCCCGAGCAGGTCGGTTTGGCACTAAGGGCTTGGCCATCACGTTTGTGTCAGATGAAAATGATGCCAAGATCCTCAATGATGTGCAGGATCGATTTGAAGTCAATATTAGTGAGCTGCCCGATGAGATAGACATTTCCTCTTACAGTGAGTATGGGTCTCATGGAACTGGCTCCTCAACTCTTGAGAGTCTCCTTTTTCCCTGGTACGTGTGTCTGAAATCTCATTAGGTACCTAAAGTCTCTGGCGCATAATGGGCACTTGGCAAGTTATGTCCCCCTGATCTTGATGCCCCTGTTGGGATGTTTAGTTGACCTGTAGGTCTCTTTCTCTTGACAGACTATTTATCTTTCCTCACTCCCATCCTATCCTCTGCACCCACAAACTACAGACCCCTGCATGCATGGGGGCGGGTCCCTGCCTTGTCCATGTCTTATCCTAATTGTGCCATGTTTTCTCTGCAGTTGAACAGACGCGGTAGAGGACTCACCAACCTATTTGGAGTATGACAGTCTGTCTCTGTTCAGGAGATGACCGCGGGCATGGGGTGAAGGAGACACTACTGCCACCTACCCCTGATAACCCCCACCCCCACCCCATGGCTTCCCCCTTTTGCATCACCACCACTCCTAAACCCCTGTTTCCGGAATTGTCTGAATTTTTTTTAACAAAACTAAAAAACACATGCGTCTGTGGTGTCTGTAAGTGTTCCATCCCTTTATTGGATTTGGGGTGAGGTTGGACCATGGTTCAGTGTATAAGGACTGTGTGCCTTGCTGTGGGGCCCAGGTCAGTTGACAAGGGGTCAGAGGGGAGGGTGATGTGACTAAGAATGCAGAGGCCATGGCTCCTTGCTACTTCCCAGTTGCTGCCCTTTGTGGAGGTGTCTTCCATTTTTCTTAGTGGCTTGGGAGGGGCTGGGATGTTTCTGACCCAAAGGCCCAGTGTGGGTGGTATGTAGTGTTTCCAGTGTTAGAAGGTAAAGTAGGAACTGGTGGGAAGCTTAAGCGTCTCCTAGGCTCTCTCGGTGTCTCCTCATCTGTTCTTTCAGCTTCTGGATCTTGAGCACCAGGGCTTGGGCTTCCCAGGCCCCTTCTTGCCCTTCCAGTAGGGCCTGGTACAGCTCCAGCTGCTGCTCCAGCAATTCCTCGGCTTGAGCCAGCTCAGCTGTGGGGCGGGGCCGGGGACCCTGAGTTGGGGGAGCAGAGGGGAGGAAGCATCAGCCAGGGCACAGGGCTGAGGTTTGGGGCGGTCTGCCTCACCTTTGAACCCTATTACATTAACATGGTCATCTGCTGTGAAGTCAAGGAAGCTTCTGTCTTAGGCATAAGCCTGGGGGTGGGGGCAGTTTGCTGCTCAGGGGTTATAAATGGACTCCGTGTACAAGGAAGGATACAGAGGAGAGGACTGGCTGTCCCTACCCCCTTTAAGAAATAATTAACTGTTAGGGGAAATTCCTGTTCAAGGACTTCATGGACTCTACAAGAAGGGAGGGCTGTGGGGAAAGGGAGCCCTGAGGTCTAGAGGGGTTGGGGGTGGGGAGGGTGCTGGGGATCTGGAAGTTGGAACTAGGCCAAAAGCTCTGGGGGTGGGGGTGGTATTTACTTGGAGCAGGCCCCTGACACAAGATGAAAGGGAATCCTCCCCCCTTTCCCCCCTACTATCTGCCCCCACACCTGCTGCCACTTACCCTTGGGGATGACCTTATCTTCCCACTGCATGTGGAGCTGGTTTGCTCTTCTGTGCTTGCCTTGGGGCTCTGGGAGCAGCACCTCCAGGAGCCCTGGGGGGCCAGAGGCCAGGAAGGCAGGAGGAGGCGACGGCAGCAACATGAGAGCCAGGGCAGAGGGAGTACCATGGCCGGTGTAGCAGGGAGCTTTCTGAACTGCTTCCCACCGGGAACTGGCTCCTTCCCTCTAGGCTTTGGCCTCGCTTCAGTGACTGGCCCTGCCCAGTGCCCTGCCCCTACCTTTACCTCCCTCCCAACCTGGCCCCAGACAGTTTTCCTGATGTGAAAAATTTCCTGCCTGTTGAGGCAGAACTTGCTTTATTTATTTATTTTAAAAATGTTATTTATTGGGGGAGAGCACAAGCAGTGGGGAGAGGGATTCTCTCCACTGAGCAGGAAGCAGGGCATGGAGGTCCTTCCCAGGATCCTGGAATCAAATTATGACCTGAGCTGAAAGCAGATGCTTAACCAACAGAGGCACCCAGGCGCCCAAGGCAGAACTTGGCTTTAGAACACTGGTGCTCTTCCTACTGAGTCTTAGTGTCTGCTTTTTTTCCGCACTAGGTCTTTAATCATTTCCAGTTCTGCAAGGTACAAGTTACATTGCTGGTGTGCAGGAAACTGGCTCAGGAGGGTTACCTTCAGGGTAAAAGTCCACTGCTGGTTCGTGGAAAAGTGGGAGGATTCATGCCCTGGCCCACCTTACTTGAAAGCTCATAGCCATTGACCTGGCTCAAGTATTGATTACACCTTTATTTCCATTTTTTTCCTTCTTGCTGGCCCAGAAGGACATTCCTTCTTGTCTGCATTACATGTTGTAGGGGTTTAGACACTTAACCGACTGAGCCACCCAGGTTCCGTGACTTCACTTTAAATTTGTAGTAGGACAAAAGCTCTGTTCACACACCATGCATGTGTGATGTGAGCCTTGTGTACTGGTGTTGGCCTTTTGCAGTGTATCCTGAAATGTCCTGTGGCTGGAGGGCACTGCTACATCCCTATGGACAGGAGTGGCTCAGAAGGGAGTGGATGGTCCCAATTTTGATCATCTGGGAAAAAGGTAGACCCTCAGAGAAAAGTTATCTCAGAAAACAAAATGACTGGAGAGTGGACAGTTGCTAACCAGCTCACTGTCTTTGCGACATCACGCTGAATTTGGAGGGAAGATGACCTCTCCCATAGCATGGGGATCCAGGAACCAGGGAGGGTGATCTTCCCGGAGGTCAGTGGCTCTCAAACTTAGAGGTGGGGTTGCTGAAGTACCTTTAGATGAGGCCAAACACCCCGTGTTCCCCATAGCTGATGTGTTCTCACTTTTCAATGGAAAAAGAACCAAGAACTTCAGCAGGATTCTGGGGGGAAGAGCAGCTTCCTCATGTTTCTTAGTGACAGGGTATGCATGATTCATATTTGACTTGCAGTATACGCATGGTTTAAAGTCTTAATTATTGGAACACAAGAGGCCCAAATTAATGTTATGGCTATGGGGAACTATCCAGTATAAGGTTTAGCAGACTACAAGCAACTGATATTGAAGCTAAACTCACCACATTAATAAATTAAAAGCAAGGTTTGTAGCCATTAAGAAATATAGCAAATGAAACTAAGACAATCTAAATGATGCACTAATAAAGTATCCTTCCTGAACACTAGGCATTTCTACCATCTGCATTTCTATTTTAGGTTATGAACTCCAAAATGGACTAACCTAATAATTTACAGTGGGTAGTTCTAAACCCTAAGTTAAAATAGAGTCTATGGATTGGGGTTTTGTTCATCTGTGAGAACTGGTATAAAGGAAAGGCTGCTATTTGAATCAGTTCAAATCTATTGAATGAGTTTTAGATCTCTTAATCCTGGAAATGAAGGAATGAGGATAAATACATATAAGCCAGATTACTTAATTTAATGTTACTGTATGTTTTTGTTACTCTTGAGCATCTCATGTCTTATTTTTTTTTTTAAGATTTTTAAAATTCATTTGAATGAGAGAGTATGAGGTGGGGGGAAGGGCAAGGGGAAAGGGAGAAGCTGACTCCTGGATGTGGGGCTCATCCCAGGACCCTGAGATCATGACCTGGGTAGAAGACACACTTAACTGACTGAGCCACCCAGGTGTCCCTCTCAGTGTCTTAATAGAGTACCCCACCCCCCCGCCCTTTTAAGAAAAGGCTTTATGTCTAATAGACACTTAATCAAATGAGAGTTGGGCCTGGCTTCTGCAGGTGAAGTCTGTTTTCAGCCAGGGACAAGCAGAGGATTATGGGGAACATCACCCATAAGGTGAAAGGGCTGCAGAGCTTCCTGAGGTCAATGTGCTGATACTGCATCCTACCCAGTGGATTGGCAGGACTGAGGTGACTGACATAAATTACTGGACCCTTCATATGACACTCCTGTGGAGATGGGTACTTAGGAATATTGAAGTCCACTGAACTTGCTGGGCAATTTTTGTTCTTGTCATAGGTGACCTTCACAGTAACCTTTCAAGAGAGCTTTCTCATTTTACCTTTTTTTTTTTTTTAAGATTTTATTTATTTATTTGACGGAGATCACAAGTAGGCAGAGAGGCCCGCAGAGAGAGAGAGAGAGAGAGAGAGAGAGAGAGGAGGAAGCAGGCTCCCCACCAAGCAGAGAGCCCGATGTGGGGCTTGATCCCAGGATCCTGGGATCATGACCTGAGCTGAAGGCAGAGGCTTTAACCCACTGAGCCACCCAGGTGCCCCTCACCTTTTTTATTCATGTGGATGTCCACTTGTTCTAGCACAATTTGTTGAAAGACTACCTTTTCTCCATTATATGGCCTTTGCTTTCATCTAAAAAATCAACTGACTCTATGTGGGTCTATTTCTGGGTTCTCTATTCTGTTCCATTAATGCACTCGTTTTCTCAACAGTACCTTATACACTTTCTCTTCCTCCTCCTTCTTTTTTAATTTAAGAGAGACACAAAGATAGTGACATAGAGCATAAGTGAACACAAGCTGCTAGGGAGAGAAAAGCAGGCTCCCCACTGAGCAGGGAGCAAGGGCTCAATCCCGGGACCCTTGGATCATGGCCTGAGCCAGAGGCAGACACTTAACTGACTGAGCCACCCAGGCTCCATACACTGTCTTGATTACTATAGCTTTATAGTAAGTCTTGAAGTCAGGTAGTATCAATCCTCTAACTCTGGGTTCTTACGGTAGACTGGTTATTCTTGGTCTTTTGCCTCTCCATATAAACTTTAGAATCACCTTGTCAGTATCTACAAAATAACTTGCTGATATTTTTAATGCGATTGAGTTGAATTTAAAGATCAAATTGGGAAGAACTGACATCTTGACAACATCAAGTCTTCCTATCCATGGATATGGAATATCTTTTCATTTATATAGTTCTTTGATTTCTTTCTTTTTAAATTTTTAATTTAAATTTAATTGATTAACATAAAATGTATTATCAGTTTCAGAGGTAGAGGTCTTACATAATATCCAGTGCTCATAATATCAAGTGCCCTCCTTAATGTCCATCCATCCACCCCTCCCCTCCAACAACCCTCCGTTTGTTTCCTATGCTTATGAGTCTGTTATGGTTTGTCTCCTTCTCTGATTTCATCTTGTTTTGTTTTTTCCTCTCTTCCCCTATGATCCTCTGTTTTGTTTCTTAAATTCCACATGTGAATGAAATCATATGGTAATCATCTTTCTCTGGTTGACTTATTTTGTTAGCACAATACCCTCTAGTTTCATCCATGTCATTGCAAACGGCAAGGTTTCATTGTTTTGAAGGCTTCTTCTTTATCCATTCATCTGTTGATAGACATCTGGGCTCTTTCCATGGTTTGGCTATTGTGGACATTGCTGCCATAAACGTTGGGGTGCAGGTGCCCTCCGGATCACTACATTTGTATCTTTGGGGTAGATATCTAGTAGTACAATTGCTGGGTTGTAGGGTTGCTCTACTTTACCTTTTTTAAAAAAGATTATTTATTTGACAGAGATCACTAGTAGGCAGAGAGGCAGTCAGAGAGAGGGGGAGCAGGTTCCCTGCAGAGCAGAGAGCCTGATGTAGGACTTGATCCCAGGACCCTGAGATCATGACCTGAGTCGAAGGCAGAGGCTCAACCATCTGAGTCACCCGGGCACCCCTACTTTTAACTTTTTGAGGAACCTCCATTCTGTTTTCCAGAGTGGCTGCACCAGCTCTCATTCCTACCATCAGTGTAAGAGGGTTCCTCTTTCTCCACATCCTTGCCAACATCTCTCATTTCCTGACTTGTTAATTTTAGCCATTCTGACCAGCGTGAGGTGGTATCTCACTGTCGTTTTGATTTGTATTTCCCTGATTCTGAGTGATGTTGAACATTTTTTCATGTGTCCGTTGCCCATTTGTTTATCTTCTTTGGAGAAATGTCTGTTCATGTCTTCTGCCCATTTCTTATTTGGATTTTTTGTTCTTTGGGTGTTGAGTTTGATAAGTTCCTTATAGACCTTGGATACTAGTCCTTTATCTTATAAGACTCTTGCAAATATCTTCTCCCAATTTGTCAGTTGTCTTTTGGTTTTACTGACTGTTTCCTTTGCTGTGCAAAAGCTTTTGCTCTTGATGAAGTCCCAATAGTTTATCTTTGCCTTTGTTTCCCTTGCCTTTGGAGATGTGTCTAGCAAGAGGTTGTTGTGGCTGAGGTCAAAGAGGTTGCTGCCTGTCTTCTCATCTAGGATTTTGATGGAGTTCTGTCTCAAATTTAGGTCTTTCATCCATTTTGTGTCTATTTTTGTGTATGGTGTAAGGAAACAGTCCAGTTTCATTCTTCTGCATGTGGCTGTTCAATTTTCCCAACACCACTTGGGGAAGAGACTATCTTTTTTCCATTGGATATTCTTTACTGCTTTGTTGAAGATTAGTTGACGATAGAGTTGAGGGTCCATTTCTGGATTCTCAGTTTTGTTCCATTGATCTATGTGTCTGTTTTTGTGCCAGTACCATACCGTTTTGATGATTACGGCTTTGTAATAGAGCTTGAAGTCCGAAATTGTGGTGCCACCAGTTTTGGTTTTCTTTTTCAACATTCCTTTGGCCATTTGAGGTCTCTTCTGGTTCCATACTGATTTGGGGAGTATTTGTTTCAACTCTGTGAAAAAAGTGGATGGTATTTTGAAGGTATGGATTCCTCTAAGTAACATAGACATTTAACAATATTTTTTCTTCCAATCCATGAGCATGGAA